CCTCGTATACCTCATGCCTCTTCAACCTTCTCTTGTAACCCCTTGTTGGGTCTGTTGGGTTTTTGTAGGTAGGACCCAACCCAATTTGAAATTGTTTTCTTTTCTGTTTCGTTGTTTGTCTCCACCAAGGGAATAGTCTGTCTGGGAGGGCAGGAACCATGTGTATTTTCCTTTCATCCCCATTATTCATCGATGCCCAAGAACATTTAGTAGGTAATCCAATAGATATCTGTTAAATAAATCACAGTGTTCCCCGACTGGGTGAGGCATGAAGTTAAGTCTGAACCATTTGGTGAGGAAATTGTTGGCTTTGCAGTCATTTCAACCCATCTGATAACATCAAAAGTTGCAGTTTGGTGTGAATGTGTGTCCAACATGCTATTCCTCTCCCCACCCTCTCTGCCCCCCTTTTAAAAACCTACCCATCTATATATCTAATCAGAAAGAACATCTCTGGGCTCAGAGCACAGTTACCAAGGCTAGCTAGGATTCAATAACATTGTTTTGTTTTCTGAGTGTTTAATTTTTTTTTTTTTTTCAAATAATCATCGTGGCTCTCTACTTTAAAAGAAAGTCCTCTTTTAAAAGAAAATTTTAACTTCGGGTGTATTGTTCTTGAGGAAAAATTGTCACAGCGTGGGAGGAACGAACCAAAAGCCTTGAAGGTGCCATCCATATGTTTGAAGTTTGGGACGGAACAGATGTGCGCGTGCTGTAGGGATATCCATGTATAGAGGAAGTTTGGCCAGTGCCTTCTGGAAGAGAACTTTATTTTTCTCTCTTCTCCAAATGGTTGAGGTTTGTGCTGTTAAGTCCCACCTCCTAATCTCTTCACCTTCCTCTTTTCCCCAAGGCTGCCCATGGCAGGCAGTGGGAGGGGTGAGGGTGGGGGTGGGGTTATTATTTGGAAAGAGACCAAGGAAGGCTAGGGGACCTGGGGACATTAGGCCTGGCGTGGGTAGCCCCTCAGGACATGGGGAGGAAGTACGTAGAGCTGAGTCCTGAAATTGCAGACCAGTCATGCCTTTTTCTGGAGGGAAGTTTGCCATCATTCATCAGGTGCTTAATGTGCCCTAAGAAGGTTTCAGAACCGCTGGCCTGGGGGCTCCACCAGGAACGAATTGTTGCCGTAGAGTTCTGACCCTTGGTTCTCTGCCACCCACAGCTGGTCAGTTAATAATGCAGCAAGTTAATAATTAAAATAGAGGTTATGTGATCCTTAAAGATGCACACTCCCTCACTCCTTGTCTTCACTTGAAAAGCAGTGTCGCCAGCAGAATCTGCGGGAGCTCCCAGGGGGCTCTGGGCTCACCTGTGTCATTAGCACAGGGAACAATCAGGGTCTGGTTTCTTGTCTGTGTCCACACGACGCTTTGTGCTTATGCACACAGAGACCGAGTCTGTCTGGTTTACCCTTCGTGCCTAAACGCCTGCGTCCCCGCTCTCTCCCCTAACTTGCCCATACTATCTCTTGCTAGTACCCCAGGATCAAGAGCGGACAACTTACAAGCCGGGAGGCAGGAAATCAGGGTTGGCTGTGTGACTTTAAGCAAGTGACTTAACTTCTCTGACTCCTAGGAGTGTGGTTAAATTTAGATCAAATAAAGGAACAAATGTGGGAGCTCTGTAGAAAGTTAGAAGAGTCATAAGATGTCAAAGCGCTGTTCAGAGGGCAGCATTCAAATCACCCTCATGACTAATTCATAGAAGTCCCTGGAATAAGGTTCCTCCCAGCATTTTTAAGCATGGAGTGTTTGCGGCATTTTTAAGCATGGTTCGTTTTTAGATGGGTTTCATGTAGATTCTTCAAAGCATGGTAAATACTCACAATCAGTAACTACCCGCTGTAGGTATTTGTGGTTGTTGGAGCGACTTCTGCCTGCGCTAAACCACCCCACCCTGAGGTTTTGAAGTGAAGTGTTTTGATTGGCTCCGAATGTGATCATGTGATTGAGCATTGGCCAATGAGATCATCGCATTCCTGCCAAGTTATCGGCTCAGGTAAGAGTACATCATTTAGTTGGGGCCAATGAGATACCGAAAAGGTTTTAGAGAAATTTCAAGATTGCGGTTGTGTTCCTTTCAAATAGATCAGAGACTATCAGGACTGTAGCAGCTGCCCGCCTCTTGGCAGCCCAGCTTCTTGGTAGCAGAAACAGAGAATTTGGGGCGCCTGGGTGGCTGAGTGGGTTAAGCGTCTGACCCTTGATTTTGGCTCAGGTCCCGATCTTGTGGTTTGTGGGTGGAGCCCCCACTGGGGTCTGCCCTGAGGGTGTCCCCTGCTGGGGCTCGCTCACGTGCGTGCGTGCTCTCTGTCTCTCAAAATAAATAAATAAACCTTAAAAAAGAAAGAAAGAAAGAATTTGTCTGAGGATGATCAACAAAAATGTAACACAAGATGGAGTTGGAGGTGTGATTTTGTTGCTTGAGTCCTTGTATCCAACTGGGCCTGAATCAAGCGCTTTGACATAAAAGTTGTGTTTGTTTTCTGAAGCCACTTTGGCATGAGGCTAGTGTCCCTCGCAACCACAAGAGTCCTGGCTGACTACAGATAATCTTAACATCTTCCTCAAGAGCCGTTTCTTTCTTGATTTTGATGACTTACAACCCACGGCCTTGGGCCCCATGCGGCCCCCACTGAAATCATCAATCTTAACTTCCATTTGTATTTTGCTTCTGTTTGGTACCCCAAACGCGGTGAGAATCATCCATCACGTTTACTCAGCACTTCATAGTTGACAAACCATTTGCGTGGGTGCCGTGTCATATAACCACGTGTTACCCAACTTCACAGATGTGGAAACTGAGGATCAGAGAATGGAAGTGACCTTGTGCTCAAGGTCACCCAATTAACAGTTCGTGGTCTCCAGCCTAGGGCTTCTGATTCCCGGGAGCATGTACTTCCATACTGTGGCAAGGGGTTAAAGGGTTTGAGGAGATACAGGTAATACCCTGACTTCAAGAACAAGATACTCTGTCAACTGAACCCAATGTTCCCCTCCCCACAGCCTTGCTGTGTGTCCCCAATACTCCTAGTACTGTATGGAACAGCAGATACCCAACGTGCTGCGGGTAATAGCAGCAGCCCAGAGCTGTCCTGAGCTTGTTTTCTCCCGAGCTGAAGATGTGTCCTTCTCAGACTTGGGGAAAATCTGCATCCTAACCTATTATGCTCCCTTGCCACATCGTACTGTTTTGCGCCCCTGTGCCTAAGCTCTGTCGCTCCCTTCTTCCTCTAATTACTTAGTCATCCTTCCTGCCTTTGTCAGGGTTCTTGGTTGAGAACAACAGAATCCATTTCAGTTACTTTGAAAAGAAAGGGAAAATGTTAGATGGTGTTAGGCAACTCGCGGGAGCCCCAGCAGGACCAGGTCATTGGGCTTAGAGGGTGCAGAGCCAGGAACAACACCTATGTCTTTGCTGCAAAGGAGTCTAGTAAACGGAGCTTCTCGTCTCCGCCTTGAAGAGAGGAGAATCTTGGGAAATTTCCCAAACCTAAGAATTGTATGTAAGAGGTACGATCAAAAGCACCAGGTGTTGTACACTAAACTTCCTAATTCTGCTCACTCATCCCTGAGGCCACTGACCCACCCTCCCCAGGAGCCTTCCTCCTGTGTGGGACCTGGTGTCTGCAGCTGTGATGGTGCGTGGTTGTCATTGACTACTCCTCCCCCATCCGAGAGCATTATTTCTCCATTCACAGTGCAGTTCGCCCTGCCTGAATTTGCCCTTCGCTTCCCAACCACCACCCTTGCGCCTTTTCCCCTAGTTAACTTTGATTTGGTCTTCATGAGTCACGTCAAAAGCAGCATCCTTGGGGGCGCCTGGGTGGCGCAGTCCGTTAAGCGTCCGACTTCAGCCAGGTCACGATCTCGTGGTCCGTGATTTCGGGCCCCGTGTCGGGCTCTGGGCTGATGGCTCAGAGCCTGGACCCTGTTTCCGATTCTGTGTCTCCCCCTCTCTCTGCCCCTCCCCCATTCATGCTCTGTCTCTCTCTGTCCCAAAAAAAGAAATAAACGTTAAAAAAATTTTTTTAATTAAAAAAAAAAAATGCAGCATCCTCAGAGAAGCCAGTGCTGACTCCTGTCCCGAGTTATCCACTGTCTTAGTCCATTCAAGCTGCTGTAACGAAACTATCACAGTCTGGGGGGCTTAAACAGCAGGCATTTATTTCCCATAGTTTTGGAGACTGGGAAGTCTGAGACCAAGGTGCCTGGCAGGTGGAGTGTCTGGTGAGGACCCACTTCCTGATTAATAGACAGCTGTCTTCTCGCTGTGTCTTCACATGGCAGAAGGGGTGAAGGAGTTCTCCAGGGTGTCTTTTTTTTTTCAATCTTTTTAAATGTTTATTCATTTTTGAGAGATGGAGAGAGACAGAGCATGAGTGGGGGAGGGGCAGAGAGAGAGGGAAACACAGAATCCAAAGCAGGCTCCGGGCTCCGAGCTGTCAGCACGGAGCCCGACACGGGGCTCAAACCCATGAACCGCGAGATCACGACCTGAGCCGAAGTCGTGAGCTTAACCGACTGAGCCACCCAGGTGCCCCTCCAGGGTGTCTTTTATAAGGGCACTAATCCCATTCATGAGAGCACCACTCTCATGAACTAATCACCTCCAAAAGCCCTCCCCCCCCCCACCAATACCATCACACTGGGGATTAGGTTTCAGCATATGAATATTGAGGGGACACAAACATTCTGTAGGTGGCATTCACTCATCGTCTCTTGTCCTTTTAAATTCATCTATTTATCATGGTTCGTGTTTTTTAAAACCTGTCTCACCTACTGGGGAGAAATGAACCTGGAGTGACTGTTCAAACAAATCTGAGTGATAACGATGCCAGAACAGAACATGGCAAGCAGGCGGACGGGGCTGTTTTTTCTTGGAGAATGCAAAGAGACGCACACTGTCCCCTTTGCTGGAGGGAAGTCGAAGCTGGGTGGGTGTGTAAGAGACACACACTAGCAGGTCGTGTGGGGCGCCCTGACCCCGGCTTTGCGGCACGAAGAAAGGGAGAGCAGGAAAGAGGCGGATGGGTAAGGAAGTTCTCAGGCTTCACTCCTGGGTTGGAGTGGGGCAGAGCATAGGAGAGAAGCTACTCCCATTTTGTGAAACCGTGTTTTAGTTCGACTTGTCCAGACTTCTTGGGACCCTCGTGCTTGGGAGCCAAGGCATGGCCCTTTTCAAAGTGTCCTTGCTCTGTAAGAACCGTCAATGCTTCGTTCTTTCCTTCTCCCTCGCCTCCTTCTCCAGCAGACGAAATGCCCAGATCTCTCTTATCCGCAGAATCTTCTCTTACCCCTGCTTTCTCTTTCTTCACTGCCAGTATTCTAGAAAGGGCTGACCCCCACCGTGTATAGCTTGCTATCTCTTTAACCCCTGGCTGTTCAGCTTCCGCCCCTTAGTCTATGGGACTGGCTTGTCTGAAGCAAAGTAACTCATGATCTTAAATCAGTCACTCTGTCCTTTCTAGAGTCTCTTTGAGAGCTTTATGGAAGCTTTGGTCTTCCCTTCCAATGAAAACACACTCTTGCACCCAGGTGAAAAAATGTAAATAGTTTCAGAAAACCACATGCCTCATAAGCTCTGCCTCAATCCCTGGGATAACGCTGTTCCTGGGTGTAAAATCAGAGGTCTTCTCTAAACCAGCTTTGGGGATGAAGAACCCAGGTTCTAAAGTCAGTCTGCGTGGTATAAATCCTGGCTCCACGCTTCCTGGGTACATGAACATGAGCTCTCTGAGCCTCAGTTTCCCCAGATATAAAAAAGGAATAATAATATCAAACTTTACAGGGTTGTGGTAGAAGCTTAAATTTCATTCGGGTAAGAACAGTTCTTGGCACATTAAATATTCACAAGTTTATCATCATTGTCTCTGTTATTATTTTCACCAACAGCGTTCATTCTGGATCAAACATGGTTTCGTATCTGACTCACAGATGCATCTTGTGGGCTACACATTATTCTAAAAAAAAAAAAATTCATTGACAACATTTAGAAATTAAGAGTTCACATGAAAATCTGTCTTTTTGGCTTCCATTGGAAAATCAGATCTGACGATCCTGGGTCATTTCCACCTGGCATCATGGCCTGGAACTGGGTAGTGTGAGTAATTCTCCAATTTGCCACCGTCCCCACCCATCCCCAGCGCTGAGACCAAGAACCCACAGCCCGGGATCATTGCGCATACGCAGTCTTGTTCCTTGACAGTCAAGAAATTGCTCTTGTATCAAGGAAAATGAAAAGTACGGCCAAGGAAGCCCTGTGTGTTAAAAAAACCAAAAAAAAGCAGTATAAATTAGTTCGTGTAAGTAAAGATTAGCTTGTGAGTTTTGTGTTGCAAACGCCTCTCCATCGCTTGCCGACTGCCCAGCCCCTGCAGGCATCTGGGTTCCCCATCTCTGGCTTTAAAAGATGTCTAAGCGGCGGCCATCACTTGCCTTCTTTTCCTGTCTATCCTCTACCGGCTTCCTCGTCGCAGCCCCACTTCTTGGTGGTCTCGCTCATCCTGTGGTGGGTTTCAGAGCTGAATAGATTCGGATGCCAGCCTCCCTCTTCTGAGCTTCAGGCGTGTGTCTGTGGCGAAGACACATGCGGTTACGTGGTAAGGCTGTTGGAGACTCGAACACCAGCATCCAGCCCTTAGCGCGATGGCTGGCAAAGCACGGCTGGTTCACACCGCCAGTTCCTTTTCTCTGCCTGCATGAGGGTTACCCTCAAGGTTCTTCTGGCCCCTTCCCGAGGTTCTGTCCGGCCTTCTGGTTTGGGGGAGCACTCCCCTTCCTCTGTCGTTGACTGTTGCCTCTCTGCCATTGACGTCCACAGCCATCAGTGCCAATATGCCTCTCTTCTTCTTCCTCTTTGCCTCTACGTCCAGCAACGACTTTAAAATACCACTTTCTAGAGAACATGGAACGATCCTTCCATCTTTCCTACAGCGTGTTGACTGATTGAATTTGTTTTTCTATTCTTTTTTTTTTTAATTTTCATTTTATGTTTTCAAAGAGAGAGAGAGACATAGCCTGAGCGGGGAGGGGCAGAGAGAGAGAGGGAGACAGAGAGTCTGAAGCAGGCTCCAGGCTCTGAGCTGTCAGCACAGAGCCCGACGCAGGGCTTGAACCCACAAACCGTGAGATCATGACCTGAGCCGAAGTGGGACGCTTAACCGACTGAGCCACCCAAGCACCCCTGTTTTCCTATTCTTGATAACTTATAAACTTTTCTTTCAGCCTTACAACTTTGTATTGGTAACATCATATGAAATTCTAGAAATGTTAAATTTGGAAAATTGCCGTCAGGTTTCTTTCATATATGGGCTCAAAGGTTTGGAGTAATTTTCCACAGACCAGCTTCTGGCTCTGTGCGCTTCAGAGCTTGTTTCGACTCCGTTACTCACATCCTCGGGGGTAGATTCATATCGTGACGTGTCTTTAAGTCGTAATTCCAGGTGAATTGGCCCAGTGGGTAGTGAGAGGATTCCTGGAAACTATTCCTGCATGAAGATAGCTGGCAATTACTTAACTGTAGGGGAAGTGACTGTGAACTGCTTAAATAAACCCCACTCAGCATAGGGGACAGCAGGTGCAAAGACATGTACCACTCACCTGTAGTGTGGGGACACCAACACTGGGTGTGTTCGTTTTCTGTCGCTGCTGGGACACACAGCCACACGTTTGGTGGCTTACGTGGGACATATTTATTTACACGGCTGCCTGATGCATTCCCAACTCAGCTTCCTTTAGCTAGACCCAACAATCATCCACAGAAATCCCAGTGCCACCCAACGCAAGAGGAAGTGAGATGGAAGAGAAGCCAACCAACCGGAAGGAGAACTGGCCTTAACTGGTGGTGGGCGAACCATCCTATTCGTGCAAATCACATGGAAACACGTGACCCTGTGAGCACCTTGCTAGGGACTTGGGAGTGCCCGTGCAGGTGCTAAACCCTGATGCTTAAGCTTAACGCCTTTCACATCACATTCACCTGTGACTACACACTCTGTCTTCTGGCAAACTGGATTGACACCCATTGCCCGAGCGCCCTGCTGTTCCCCCATTGCCTTGCCTTTTCTTGCATGAGTCCACGCTCCTGCGGGCCAACTTGTATCTAAGTCAGACCCCTGCCTCCCTTGCAAACATCCGGGCCTTTTCAATCAATTCTCTTCCGTTAGCCTCCCCACCCATGGAGATTCTCATCCTTTACGTCTCTGATTGCTGTTGGCAGACAGTACCTTGTATTTTAGTCTTCCATTCATTCGGTGGGTATTTGCTGAATCCCCAGCCTGTCTCAGCCATCGTTTGGGCACTGGGGATACCAGAAGGGAGGCCAAGTCCCGGCATTCTTGGAGCCTATAGCTTAGTTGGGTGGGAATTATAAGTACCTGAAAATGCAGGGATCCTATCAGAGGGTGATAGAGCCATGGAGAGGACCATGGCCAGGGTAGAGCAATGCTGCTTTGGTAGGATGGTCATGGAAGGCCCTTCTGATGGGCTGAGGGAAGGGCATTCTCAGCATGGAAAACAGCGGGTTCCAAAGCCATAAGTCAGGACACCGCAAGGCCACGGTGGCTCCAGATAAAATTATGTCAGGGGCCACTCTCCTTCCTGTCTCTAAGGAGCCCGTAGCCCCTGCATGCTGTTCAGGGTCCTTTCACACCTGTTCCCTCCCCAGATCTTCCCTTCCAGAGAAGGGTCCTTTTCTGCTTGGAATTTCCGGCCTCTGTGTCAGAACATGCCTGTTCTACGTTCTGGGACAGGCAATGCCTCTGGTTGCATGTTAATCAGTGACAGGCTGCTAATGCATTATTTCATCTCAGATGGTGTCTGTGCTTATCAGCAAGGCTTTTTTTTTTTTTTTTGAGAGCGAGAGAGAGAGAGAGAGAGAGAGAGAGAATCTCAAGCAGGCTCCACACTCAGCACAGAGCCCACAGAGTCTCATAACCTGGAGATCCTGATGTGAGCCGAAATCAAGAGGTGGATGCTCAACCGAATGAGCCCCCCAGGTGCTCCCCCAACAAGACTTTTGAAGGGAAAAAAATGCCTTAATTTCAAGGTGCACCTCTGACAGCAGGGGTGTAAGTCAGTGTGACAGGTCACTAGGACAGATATAGACTGTGGACCCAGTGAGCATGCAGGCAGGTCCTGCAAATCACATGCGGTGTATTCGTTTTCTATCGCGACTGTAACGCGCAGCCACGGGTTTGAAGGCTTAAAACAAAGTCTGTTTACCCTTTCATGTGTCTGTAGGTCAGAAGTCCAAATTCACCGTGCCCTGGTGGGTCCTTTGCTTAGAGTCTCCCAAGACTGAGACCAGAGTGGTCAGTGGGACCATGTTCCTTTCCGGAGGCTCTGGGGATGAATGTGGTTCCAAGCTCATTTCAGTAGTTAGCTGAATTCAGTTCCCCGTGGTTTTGGGACTGAGGAGCCCCTGCTTCCAATGGGGTGGGGGGCTGGTCTTTGCAACTAGAGGCTGCCCACATTCCTTCTCGTGCTTTCCGTGCACCCCCCGCCAGCAGCAGTGGGGCAAAACCCTCCCAGGCTTCAAATCTCTGACATCTTCCAGCCCATTTCTCTGCCTGCGGCCAGAGAAAGTTCTCTGCTTCTGAGGACTTTTTAGAATTATGTGATTACATGGGGCGCCTGGGTGGCGCAGTCGGTTAAGCGTCGACTTCAGCCAGGTCACGATCTCGCGGTCCGTGAGTTCGAGCCCCGCGTC